AAAAAAAAAAAAAAAAGTAGTGCATCCATATGTTGCTTAGGAATCATTTAAAAATCAAATAAACCTCAAGGAAAATACACTACAGAGAGGAAAGCAAATGTTATAAAATTAGATGATCATCCCTACAAATATCACCATTAGAATCTTCAAAAAGGTTAAAATCAGTAGACTAACAGATATAACACTAAGTAAATCAACATTCAAATGGATATTGTGAACAGAGTTGACCTGGGTTTTATTAAATTCTAAAATAATTTGTATTTAAACATCATATGTAGTCAATAAGTTCACGGAATTAAAATTAAAGAGGACTAGAATTAAGATTCTAAAAATACACTATTTTTGACTCTCTCTTACCCCCAAATTAAAGAACAGCAACCAAATGGTAATAAACACTAGCATAAACAGAACAACACACAAGTATTTCTGGAAAGTAAATGATTTAATTGAATTCAGTGTATTCCTTTCAAGGAAAAGCTAAGTTAAAAGCTTCTAAAAGCAAATAAACAGTACAGAGTTTTTAAGCAGTAGCTCTCCCCAACACGTGTATTCTTTTCCTAGATTATTGAAAGGACTATGTGAGAGAAAAGATTCTGGTTCACTGCTTTATCCTAGCAGCTGACAAGGAGAAGGTAATTATCTGTTGACTATTGAAAAATATACTAGGTACTGAAGAACTGTATTGTCCTAATTGATACCTATAGCCACAGGTGTTTTTTTTATAAGATTAAAAGTCCAGTTCTTCACTATTACTAGCCACATTTCAGGTGACCAATAACCATATGTGGCTATTGGCTACCACACTGGATAGCACACACAATATTTCCATCATCGCAGACAGTTCTACTTGTCAGTGCTACATGTCTTTCTTATAGTAATATCACCATCTCTTTATTATAGGAATAGTACTATCTTTTGATACTAACAAAGAGCTGCAAGTCATTTAAGTCTTTTATTATCAAGTATAACTTTCTTGCTTTATAATTCTTTGGCTTCTTAAGAAGGAAATGAGTTACTAAAACCATAACCAAGATCTAGCAGAATTCTATTTAATGTATAAATCAAAAGTAATTAGAAAAATGAATATTAAGTAGAAAATTATGTCATATAAAGAACGTATCTTGAACTGAAGGCAAAAAACAAAAAGACAAAACTATGAATAAGGAAAACACTGGTAGTTTCAACTTTGCTACTCATTAGCCCATAAACTGAACAAATTCAAAAGCTTGAATAGTCCATGAGCATTATCTTGGGAATACTATTTTTCACTATATAATAAAATGCAGAATGCTCCAGAGATCTTAATAATAGGCCCCCCCAAAACCAACCAACTAAACAATAGTTATAGTTTTATAACTCCACACACCTCCAGATAGTTTTACAAGTAATAATAGCTGACTCAGGCTTCACTCAACACTTAAATTATTAACACTCTTTCTTGGACTCATGAGTATGTATAGGGCAACAGGAATGAGAAAATAAGTAAAATTGTTTTATATCAAATGAAATGCAAGATTGACTCCTAGGTGGTAAGTTGATAGCTGATAATGTTAACTTAGTTTCAGATGATGAAGAGCCTAATTTCAACAGGCAACAATAGGGATTTTCCTAAAACACATCTGTGAAACCTAAAGCTAGTTCTGTTAAATATTAACCTATTTCTCTCTTTTGATTAGGCCTCAAACAGGAATTTTTAGGTACTCATTTTTTATTACTTAACTTTCTTAAGCAATGATAGAGACTGATCTCTAATGAATAAAATATTACAAATGTGATATATTTGTAAGTACCAGCAGATTTCTCAGCCTTCAAAATCGAGTCCTCTCATGAGAAGCACTTCATGAATAGGACCCTTCTTAATTTTTTAGATGTGAAGATTATTTGGGGCTAGTTACAAAGGGCTCATGAAGTTCATTCACTTTATCAGTCTATAAGCATATAAATGTACATTACTTTAAAAAGGAAGCAATCACAACAGTACCCACTTACTTTACATCAAATCTTAATTTAATACAATTATTCTACTTTAAATCAGCACAGAGAAGATACTGAGTTTTACCTGATTTGTGTTGCTTTAACAATAGCACACTCGTACAATTCTTTTTTAGTGGGTTGCACCTTGTACTTGAATAATAAGGGATCAATTGCATCTTTTCTTTTCCTAAAAAGAAAAAAGACAAAAATCCATTAATGATTCATTTGTAACATGAGATTTTAAGTGGAAATCGCATTTCTAAGAAACTAGTTTATTCTTTATTTTCTTTCATTCTATTTTTTATTTTGGTATGATTAATACAAAATCACATGGGCAACATTGTGGTTACCAGATTCCTCCCATTATCAAGTCCCCACCACATACCCCATTACAGTCAAGTCCATTAGTGTAGTAAGATGCTGTAGAGTCATTACTTGTCTTTTCTGTGCTCTCCTGCCTTCCCTGTGCCTCCGAACTACACTATGTGTGCTTATCATAATGCCTCTTATTCCCCTTTTCCCTCCCTTCCCACACACCCTCTCCAGTCCCTTTCCCTTTGGTAACTGTTAGTCCATTCTTGGATTCTGTGAGTCTCCTGCTGTTTTTTTCCTTCAGTTTTTGCTTTGTTCTTATACTCCACAGATGAGCGAAATCATTTGGTACTTTCTTTCTCTGCCTGGCTGTTTTCACTGAGCATAATACCCTCCAGCTCTATCCATGCTGTTGCAAATGGTAGGATTTGTTTTCTACTTATGGTTGAATAATATTCCATTGTGTATATGTACCATATCTTTTTTTCTTGGTATCATTAATCTACAATTATATGAGGAACATTATGTTTACTAGACTCCCCCCATTACCAAGTCCCCCCCACAAACCCCATTGCAGTCACTGTACATCAGCATAGTAAGATGCTATAGAATCACTATTTGTCTTCTCTGTTATACTGCCTTCTCCGTGCCCATCTCTGCTACATTATGTGTGCTAATCCTAATGCCCATTTTCCCCCTTATCCCTCCTTTCCTGCCCATAATCCCCAGTCCCTATCCCTTTAATAACTGTTAGTCCATTCTTGAGTTCTGTGAGTCTATTTTGCTCCTTCTGTTTTTTCTTTGTTCTTATACTCCACAGATGAGCGAAATCATTTGGTACTTGTTTTTCTCTGACTGGCTTATTTCACTGAGCATAAATACCCTCTTGCTCCATCCATGGTGTTGCAAATGGTAGGATTTGTTTTTTTTCTTATGGCTGAATAATATTCCGTTGTGTATATGTACCACCTCTTCTTTATCCATTCATCTACTGATGGACACTTAGGTTGCTTCCTTTACTTGGCTATGTAAATAGTGCTGCAATAAACATAGGGGTGCATATGTCTTTTTGAAACTGGGATCCCACATTCTTAGGGTATATTACTAGGAGTGGAATTCCTGAGTCAAATAGTATTTCTAGTTTTAAGTTTTCTGAGAAACCTCCATACTGCTTTCCACAATGGTTGAACTAACTTACATTCCCACCAGCAGTGTAGGAGGGTTTCCCTTTCTCCACATCCTCACCAACATTTGTTGTTTGTCTTTTGGATGTTGGCCATCCTAACTGGTGTGAGGTGATTTAATTTGCATTTCTCTGATGATTAGCAATGTGGAGCATCTTTTCATATGTCTGTTGGCCATCTGAATTTCTTCTTTGGAGAAGTGTCTGTTTAGTTCCTCTGCCCATTTTTAAATTGGATTATTTGCTTTTTGTTAGTTGAGGTGTGTGAGCTTTATATATTTTGGATGTCAACCCTTTATTGGATCTGTCATTTATGAATATATTCTCCCATACTGTAGGATGCCTTTTTGTTCTACTGATGGTGTCCTTTGCTGTACAGAAGCTTTTCAGCTTGATATAGTCCCACTTGTTTATTTTTGCTTTTGTTTTCCTTGCCTGGGGAGATATGCTCATGAAGTTGCTCATGTTTATGTCCAAGAGATTTTTGCCTATGTTTTTTTCTAAGAGTTTTATGGTTTCATGACTTTCATTCAGGACTTTGATCCATTTTGAATTTACTTTTGTGTATGGGGTTAGACAATGATCTAGTTTCATCCTCTTACATGTAGCTATCCAGTTTTGCCAACACCAGCTGCTGAAGAGACTGTCACTTCCCCATTGTATGTCCATGGCTACTTTATCGTATATTAATTGACAATGTATGTTTGCATTAATATCTGGACTCTCTGTTCTGTTCCACTGGTCTGTGGGTCTGTTCTTGTGCAAGTACCAAATTGTCTTGATTACTGCTTTGTAGAAGAGCTTGAAGTTCGGGAGTGAGATGCCCCCCATTTTATTCTTCCTTCTCAGGATTGCTTTGGCTATTCAGGGTCTTTGGTGGTTCCATATGAATTTTAAAACTATCGGTTCCAGTTCGTTGAAGAATGCTGTTGATATTTTGATAGGGATTGCATTAAATCTGTAGTTTGCTTTAGGAAGGATGGCCATTTTGACAAGATAAATTCTCCCTAGCGAAGAGCATGGGATGAATTTCCATTTGTTAGTGTCCTCTTTAATTTCTCTTCAGAGTGTCTTGTAGTTTTCAGGGTATAGGTCTTTCACTTCCTTGGTTAGGTTTATTCCTAGGTATTTTATTCTTTTTGATGCAATTGTGAATGGAATTGTTTTACTGATTTCTCTTTCTGCTAGTTCTTCATTAGTGTGTAGGAAAGCCACAGATTTCTGTGTATTAATTTTGTATCCTGCAACTTTGCTGAATTCCGATATTAGTTCTGGTAGTTTTGAAGTGGACTCTTTGAGTTTTTTATGTAGAATATCATGTCATCTGCAAATAGTGACAGTTTGACTTCTTTTTTACCAATCTGGATGCCTTGTATTTCTTTGTGTTGTCTGATTGCCATGGCTAGGACCTGCGGTACTATATTGAATAACAGTGGGGACAGTGAACATCCCTGTCTTGTTCCCAATCTTAATGGAAAACCTTTCAGCTTCTCACTGTTAAGTATGATGTTGGCTGTGGGTTTGTCATGTATGGCCTTTATTATGTTGAGGTACTTGTCCTCTATACCCATTTTGTTGAGAGTTTCTATCATGAATGGATGTTGAATTTTGTCAAATGCTTTTTCAGCGTCTATGGAGATGATCGTGTGGTTTTTGTACTTCTTTTTGTTGATGTGGTGGATGGTGTTGATGGATTTTCGAACATTGTACCATCCTTGTATCCCTGGGATAAATCCTACTTGATCATAATGGATGATCTTTTGGATGTATTTTTGAATTTGGTTTGCTAATATTTTGTTGTGCATTTTTGCATCTATCTTCATTAGGTATAGTGGTCTGTAATTTTCTTTTCTTGTGGTGTCCTTGCCTGGTTTTGGTATTAAGAGTGATGCTGAGCTCGTAGAATGAGTTTTGGAGTATTCCTTCCTTTTCTGTTCTTTGGAAAACTTTAAGGAGCCATGGGTATTAGGTCTTCACTAAATGTTTGATAAAGTTCAGCAGTGAAACCATCTGGTAAAGGCATTTTGTTCTTACATAGTTTTTTGCTTACCAATTCAATTTCCTTGCTGGGAATTCTGTTTCTTCCTGGGTCAGCCTTGGAAGATTGTATTTTTCTAGAAAGTTGTCCATTTCTTCTAGGTTATACTGAAAGTAGTTTGTATAACAGAATCTAATGCATTTTTATTTTTACCAGGATTTTATAAGTTATTGATATCCCTCACCATTCTATTAGCCAAAATAGTACAAAGTACTTTTTTATGTTAGGTAGTTGCTTTAATTACACATTAAATAAATTTTTTCTGGTGAAGAAATTAAGTAGAGATGAATAAGCAGAGCACCCAGTTTTGGTCAGATAAATTTGTCAACAAGTATGCTCTTGGATTTGCTTTTAACCTTTCCTTTTCATAGCTACGTAATCCAAGAGCAAAAGTGGAGATAACATAGTTCACCCTTTCTTAAGAATTGGCAAAGAGGCTATTTAATCCCCACTCTCACCAACTTCTCATCTTTTCTTCCCTTTGAGGGTGTATCCACCCATCTATCCAATAAATAGTTAAGAGCTTACAATGTGCCAAATACTAAACAATAAGGATTCAGTGCTGAACAAAATGGAAAAACAGCAGGGAGAAACAGGCAAACAAACAAAAAATACACAGGGTAGGTGGTAAGTGCACTGAAGGGAACAGAGTATAGGGTGTAGGGCACCTCTATTTTATATAGTATGATGGTCCCTGGGAACTGACCAGGTAGGCTTTCCAAGAAGGTGACATTTAAGCAGAGGTCTGAAAAAAACGAAGGAGCAGTTAGACAGGCAGCAGCAGGGCCAGTTTATAGGCCATCATTAAGGGCTTCGGATGACTCTGAGTAAGGATACTAGAGGATTGTGAACGAGAGGTGATAATGATTCAACTTATGCTTCAGAAGGATCACTCTGGCTGCTATGTGAGGAACAAACTATGGGGCCAAAGTGCAGAGGGATACCAGTTAGAAAGCTAAGGCAATAAAATAAGTGGGAACTGATGGCAGCACAGACTAAAATAGTAGTGGTGGCAATAAAGAGAAGCAGTTGGTTCTGGAAAAGCTGCCTCTGTAAATCCAAGCATTTATGTAGAGGGGATGTAAGTGGGGTTTACAGAGAGGAGAAGAAAATGATATGAAAGAATGATAGAAGCATTTGACACTGAAGGTAAGATATAGTCAAAGTGATATGAATACACTACGCACAAGACAAGGTGACGGGAGTCTCAACATAGAAGGGTTATCTGAGACAATCACACAAATAAAATGGAAGTATTTACCTGTAACAGCATTAAATTCCAAGTTGGAGGGCCAAATGTCTTTACAGTGAGACCCAGTATACACATAAACTAGGAGACATTCACCCTTACTATATGGAATGCAATCTAGTATTTTCCATTCTATTTATATTAGCTTAATTTCATAACCTATAGGAGGCTATAATCTGCAGATTGAACAAAAGAACAAAAACAGAAGTCTTAAGTGAGCAGATAGCAGTATTGATGGGAGTTCTCAATAAAGGTATTTCTTGAAATGAAAAGAGGGAAAAATAAAAAACAAATTCTAATGAATCAGTAGCAGTTATTCAAGGACAGCCTTGATGGAGTTTTCATCTTAATACCATTTTCTGAATAAGTGCCAACTTAGCAATTAATTACTACCATTTTATACAT